TGGGATTAACAATACAAAAAATAGGTGTTTCTTAATTGTCGCCTTCTATAATGTGCATAGCAACTATGTAGTTAGAGATAAACTTAATAGTAATTATGCAATTACTACGTCGTTACTACGTATTAAGATTTATAGTTGTTAGACGAAACCATGTGATGCTAAATGTCACATATCAATATTTAATAAAAACTAGATTGGTCTTGGTAGTTTATGACAGGTGATGATTATCATCACATGGTTTCGTCTAACAACTATAATTAAGATATTTAAGTTTCTGTAAAGTTAGTAATTTATGAAAAATGGGTATCATTACTTATGACAAATTAAAATATTTCAGAGTTAGATTTCAAAAATCTAAATTCATTTATGTAACAATACATCCGACTAATCGCTAATTGTTAATTACGAGAAAGCCCTCACGTGACCACAATACAATTATAACAAATAATTAAACTTAATAGAAATTAAGTATTCAAATCACTATTTAGGAATTTCTAATTATGATTTTAATCGAAGTGCTTTGTAATTAAAAATCAAAATCCGAATTATTTTTAGAACAGATTATTTTTGAATTTTGTCCAATATAGAATTTAAATTATTTAAAGCCTGAACTTACCCAAATACATGAGATTAAATTCAGAACATTTTCAAAGTAGTTTCAGTCAAATTAAATAATATTTAAATAATGCTAGCAGTTATGAAATCTTTTAAATTATTTATTTTTACTCTTAACTTTTTGGCAATAATTCCAAACATCACATTGTCCGCCATCCCGCTTACATTTTATTGCACCCGTTTTGTACCAAGTGCAGTTTCTTTCAACACATCAATTGCTAATATTGCGTTAAATGTTTCTGCACTACAAGGCCCATGTGTAGAAATTGCCAGCACAGGAAAATATACAAATTGAAGCTCCTTTGCTGTAACACAAATAACTTCTGCAGAAGCATTATGCTACAGTGACGTAGCAGGTGTTCGAGACACCAGAGGGAGTTCTGTTTGGTTTATGTCACCTCAAGGATGGGTTTGGTCTGGCTTGACGACTAATCCGAATTGGAATTTATCTTGTTAGGTGATCCGAAAAACAATAACTAGCCAGAACTTATAACAAAACTCATTTTGAATTGGCTGCATTTATAATAATTAAAATTTAGTAGTTAATATAATTTAATAATAATTCTGAATGTAAATCTGATAAAAATTTATTAATAAACTAATTAATATCAACGACCAAAAGCGATAGAAACTTGGGGAACTAGTAAATGCATTGGTCTATTGCTCTAGACAAAGTATTATAGAAAATGTAAATTTCGGTATGAACTACTGTACATTTTCTTTCTAAATTGAAATTGATTTGTTTAACGATAAAGTAATACTTTCAATAATTACAGAAAAGACCTAAGAATATAGTTGTTAGACGAAACCATGTGATGATAATCATCACCTATCTTCATTCGAGTTGACGTAAGTCAACAGATCGAAAAGAGGCTAAGCAGAGACAAGCCTGCTAGTTTCCTAAAACATGCAACCGGGCTAAAAACCGGTTCGGCGGTCGTTAGTATGAAACCAGGAAACTTGGATAACATGCGATAACACATGCAATATAAGAGTCATTTAATCAACTGCCTTAATTGGAAGTATTAAATGTTTACTAATGATAACTTTATTATATATTGGGATATGGCTCGCACACGATCAGATAGCATAGCGAATTCGCACCCAGCCCACCCACCCAGGGGAATCCTGCCATTTCGTCGTTTCTTTAAACTTAATGTCCAGTCGGCCTGCTTTGTGCAGTGTGGGAGACCACCGGCTGATGATACATATTACAAATGATGCTGATGGCGGTTATACCCGGCGCAAATTGTGGTTGCTATTTCCGGGAACATAGCCATTTTGTGCATCAATCGCATCGATGTACGCTGCTGCTGCATATCATCAATAAAAGTTCAATTAATAAAGTTTCAATGTCTGGCCATGGCGGTCAGGTGATTCCAATAACATAATTAAGTCACATGCGTGCAATGATTTTCGAGTGTCCCCTTAACTACGAATGTTTTAACTTATAACATAAAATAAGAGCATTAGTATAAGCTTTTTACTATAATAGCGTGTTAAACAGTATAACAAAGTTCTTTAGGTTTAGATCTTACGCATAACGTCTCAATCTTTTTTTTTGTTGGCCGTTTTCACATTTAGAGCTTACATACAGTTAATATGACTAAAATAGTAAAAATTTTCGCTTCTAAATGAAGTTCTTGGGGTTACTGATTATTTTTTGGTTATTTTTACACAATCGTTCTTTCGAAGTGATTTTTTGTTAGTGAAACGTTACATCCTCAAAAAGTACTTTATACTGTATAAATAAGTTACCCGTCATTGGCTAATGTAAATCAATTGCCCGGATGTCTGTACTGGGTAGTCGCTTTAGCCATTCCCATTTATGGTAATTTTGAGTTTCACAAATTTCAACCGATTGTAAGATACTATATATTAGCGCTAGCGCTTCGAAGCACTGCGCTGCGCGAGCGAAATACGTAGCGCTCAAAAATTTTTCTTTTATCGAATAGCTGTTGAATATATATGTGATAACAGTAAATTACTATATTAAAAAAGGGAACTAGAGAAAAAAAATCCTCAATTTGCATACTATGAAATTACCAAATTAGAGGGATGGCTAAAGCCATGTACCCACGTGAATTTTTCGAAGTTTTATTTTTTAACTTATTCGGGCTGATCCGAATCAGCAAAATTTCGCGATCCTGGTTGGTTGATTTACACAAAAAAGTCACGTGGGTACATGCCTTAGACAACTCCAGAAAGGGCTAAAGGGACCGTCTAAAGCCAGGTGCGTTCATGTGATTAATAGCCAATCAAAATATAAATTTTGATTAACCCGATGAGACAAAAACAAAGAAAAAAAGTGAAACCCACCGAAAATATAAGATAAGCACTAATAAAAAATGTTGGGAAGACAATTTTGCCTATAAGAACTGCTTCAACCCTAACACCTAACTACCCTTATTCGAATTTTAATTAAATAATCAAAAACATATGAACGCACCGGGCTTTAACCATCCCCCAGAAAAGTAATTCAGCGTAACACCAAATGCTAACAATTATTTCTAAGCGCCAAAATAACTAATTCACATAGAAGTTATTATGTAATTTTGATGTATATAATTTCACCAACTATCTCATTATTACACTGACAAGATTTGTTTACAGAATTTACCACTATATAAATTTAACACAGTAATAGTTTGTCGTGTTTTCAAATCCAATAACTTCACATAATATATCATGCAACATAATGTGATGCAGATCAAAAAACTTGCACATACGTGCTATTATATAATTGTGTTACAGAGCAAAATATACCTCCCTGTTGCTATTAGACCATCTTTACGGAGAAGGATTATTCGCACCCGTATTTTTTATCTTTCAGCCTTATTATAAAAATTCTACTCAAATGAATGATAATTTTAGTCAATTGAATTTTATTCATTGTCAAGAATTGGCAAAAAAGAACGACCCAGACGGAATATACAGGCTCGGTTATTGTTACGAATATGGAATTGGAATTGAAAAAGATGAAAACAAGGCATTCATTCATTATCAAAAATCGGCAAACATGAATAACTCTAACGGAATGTATCAAGTTGGATATTGTTATTATCTAGGAATTGGAACTGAAATAGATAAGCATAAAGCGTTTGAAAATTATTTGAAATCCGCTGAGGCGGGTAATGCAATGGGAATTTGGAAAATCGCCATTTGTTATAGATATGGAATTGGCGTGGAAAGGAATAATGACAAATTCTCCGAATGGATTAATAAGTAAGTGTTTTGTTTTTTTACATGTAGTATAGTGCTTTGAAGTATTTTTTTTAATTTTAAAAAATCTTAAAATTTGAAAAAAACCCTTGCGCAATTTTAATTATCAGGGAGTAAGTATGAAAACATTTATTAATCTACATTAAGCAATTTAAGTCGTAAATATTTATTGTTCGTGTTATTTTAGCCCGTAAGTATAATGAACATTTAATTTTTATTCATAAACACGAACAAAATACTCACTTACCATTACTATAATTCATTTCATTCGCATTAATCATTACATTCAGCGAGTGAGTGTAAAGAGCATTTAATAAATTAAAAAAAAACAATACAAACTCACAAAATTACTTATTTATCATTACGTACAAGTAATTTCATTCGCAATAATCATCTATTCAACTTGTGAGTATAAAACTATTAATAAATTCTAGAAATAAAAACAGTAAACCAAAATTTACAAAACAAGTACATATTTACTTATTACCATTACGTACAAATAATTTCATTCAGCACGTGAGTATAAATAATATTTAATAATTTTGCAAAACGAGTTCACAAAACAAGAATAGAAATACTTATTTTGCCATTACGTAAAATCATTTCATAGTGGGTGAGTATAAAGAATCCTAATAAATTCTAGAAATAAGATCAATACTTTCGTACAAATCATTTTATTCGCATTATCATTTTATTTAGCGAGTGAGTATAAAGAACATTTAATAAAGTCTAGAAATAAAACCAGCAAAACAAGTTCACAAAACAAGACATAATTACTTATTACCATTACATAAATCATTTCATCACATTATTTTAGTCAGTGAGTATAAAGAATATCTAATAAATTCTAGAAATAAGAACATACAGTAAATGCTTACTTACAAATCATTTTCATTCGCATTAATCATCTCAATCAGCTTGTGAGTATAAAGAACATTTAATAATTTTAGAAATAAACCAGAAAACAAGTTCATAAAGCAAGGACTTAATTACTTATTTACCATTACGTACAAATCATTTTATTCGCATTATCATTTATTTAGCGAGTGAGTATAAAGAACATTTAATAAAATCTAGAAATAAAACCAGAAAACAAGTTCACAAAACAAGACATAGTTACTTATCTCCATTACAATAAAAATCATTTCATTCGCATTAATTTAGCCAGTGAGTATAAAGAATATCTAATAAATTCTAGAAATAAGAACATAAATGCTTATGTACAAATTATTTTCATTCGCATTAATCATCTCACTCAGCTTGTGAGTATAAAGAACATTTAATGAATCTAGAAATAAAACAGCAAACAAGTTAACGAAGCGAGTACTTAATTACTTATTACGTATAAATCATTTTTATTCGCATTATCATTTTATTTAGCGAGTGAGTATAAAGAACATTTAATAAATTCTAGAATTAAAAACAGTAAAACAAGTTCACAAACAGGGCATAATTACTTATTTACCATTACATACAAACCATTTAATTCACATTAATTTAGTAGGTGTGTATAAAAAACATTTAGCAATTCTAGAAATGAAGACAGCAAATTAAATTCACAAACTAAGAATATGATTATTTATTATGTACAAATTGTCTCAATTCGTATAAATCACCTCACTCAGCGGGTGAGTATAAAGAACAATTAATAAATTCTAGAAGTAAAAACATTAACCCAAATTTAAAAACAAGAACATATTTACTTATTTACCATTACTTACAAATCATTTCATTCGAATTAATTTAGTTAGTGAGTATAAAGAACATTTAATAAATTCTAGAATTAAAAACAGTGAAGCAAGTTCACAAAACAAGAACATATTTACTTATTTACAAATTATTTCATTTCATCAACTTAGTCGGTGAGTTAAAGAACACTTAATAAATTCTAGAAATATGAATAGCAAAACAAATTCACAAAACAAGAGTATAAATACTTATTTACTTTACGTATAAACCATTCTATTCGCGCTAATTTAGTGGGTGAGTATAGAGAATATTTAGTAGATACTAGAAATAAAAATAATAAAACAAGTTTACATAAACAAGATTATATTTACTTATTTACTGTTATATACAAATTATTTCATTCGATTAATTTAGTTAGTGAGTATAAAGAACATTTAATAAATTCTAGAATTAAAAACAGTGAAACAAGTTTACAAAACAAGAACATATTTACTTATTTACAAATTATTTCATTTCATTAACTTAGTCGGTGAGTTAAAGAACACTTAATAAATTCTAGAATATGAATAGCAAACCAAATTCACAAAACAAGAGTATAAATACTTATTTACTTTACGTATAAACCATTCCATTCGCACTATTTAGTGGGTGAGTATAAAGAATATTTAATAATTTTATAAATAAAAACAGAAAGCAAGTTTACATAAGCAAGATTATATTTACTTATTTACTATTACGTACAAATTATTTCGTTCGAAATAATTTAGTTAGTGAGTATAAAGAAGATTTAATAAGTTCTAGAATTAAAAACAGTGAAACAAATTCACAAAACAAGAACATATTTACTTATTTACAATTGCATACAAATTATCTCATTTCATTAATATAGTCGGTGAGTTAAAGAACACAATAAATTCTAGAAATATGAATAGCAAACCAAATTCACAACACAAGAGTATAACTACTTATTTACTTTACGTATAAACTATTCCATTCGCATTAATTTAGTGGGTAAGTATAAAGAACATTTAATAAATTCTAGAAATAAAAGCAGCAAAACAAAGGTTACATAAGCAAGATTGTATTTACTTATTTACTTTTACGTACAAATTATTTCATTCACGTTATTTACTTCGTTCAGCTTGTGAGTATAAAGAACATTTATTAAAGAATAAAAAAAAAAAACAGCAAAAAAAGTTCACAAAACAAGAACATAATACTTATTTGCCATTATATACAAAAATTTCACTCGCATTAATCAGCTTGTAAGTATAAAGAACATTTAATAAATTCTAGACATAAAAACAGCAAAAAAAGTTCACAAAACAAGAACATAAATTACTTATTACTATTACGTACAAATCATTTCATTCGCACTATTCATTTTTATTCAGTGAGTAAGTATAAAGAATATTTAAAATTCTAAAAATGAAAATAACAAAACAAGTTCACAAAACAAGAACATATTTACTTATCGTTATTTACGATTACGTACAAATCACTTTATCTCATTAACTTAGTAGGTGAGTATAAAAATTGTTTACATTAGATATTGGGTGGTGTACGGCATCAGTCTAATTACAAATATAATGCAGGTCATACACTAATCAAGGTTTTTTATAATGAACTCTAATAATTTAATAGTAAAAACATAGAAAGCTCAAGCTGCAATAACTCTTGAACCAGCAAACCCACACAAATAAAATTATGTTTGTCGGGTTCGCTATAATAAGCTCTTCGCTCCATTTTTTATATTTTTATTGTCTGAAGCGTAGCGGGTGAAATAATGTAATACCAAATTTCTTGTTTTTGATATATTATTAATAAAAACTTCAAAATGTAACTTTGAAATTTTCCGTGCATATGTAATAGCCACATTTTTGATATTTTTATTAATAATAATCAAAAACGAGGGTTTTAGTATTAAATTATTCCCCCCGCTGCGCTTCAGACAATAAAAATATAAATAAAAGAACGTTGTCATGTTAAAGAGCACATTATAACGATCACGACAAATATAATTTTAGTTGTGTGGGTTGCTGGTTTTAGAGTTATTGCAGCTTGAGCTTTCTATGGTTTTACTATTAAATTATCGTTGATCTAGAGTTCATTATAAAAAATCTTCATCATTATATGACCTGCACTATATTTGTACTTAGACTGATGTCGTACACCACCCCAATTAGATATGAACACAGATGCGAAATTAACGTTATATATTATGCAGAGATTCTGAATATGGAAAATGCGCGCATTGTAATGAATATAACACTTATAAGGCATGGTGCCAATCGTGTGACCCTGACATGACAACAAGGTGGACAAGTGGAAATAAAGATATTGATGACTGCATGAAAGCATCCCAACTTAGAACCTTTGCATATGAAGATGCAATTGAATGGATTCCTTTTAATAGATTATCTGATATTAAAAAAATTGGTGAAGGTGGATTTGGTTCTGTTTATTCAACGACTTGGTTGGATGGTATAAAAAAAATTGAAAATATTAATAAGAGATCACTGGAACCAAATAGCATTGTTGCATTAAAAACTTTGTCAGATTTAAAAAAAGTGAGTTAAATATTTATTGGTTCAACAATTGGTTAATTAATAATAAACTAATTCATTTAATTAATTATAAAGTTTAAGAACTATATGAAATGCATTTTGTATAGTAATAAGCTTAAGATATATGGATTAACTCAAAATAGTGAAAATGAATACTTTATGGTAATTCAATATGCTAATAATGGAAACCTTTATAAGTTTTTAAGAGCAAA